ATCCCCTGCAGACAGAAATCCAATTGAAAATCTAAGGCAAGATAAAAAAAAAAAAAAAAAAAAAAACTTACCCAGATGATCCAATCATCCGAACTAAAACTTTTTTAAGAAGAATCTGCAAAAACATCTTAATGTCTCCCGGTGTGCAAAACAATTTTTTCATTTCTCTTTATGCACAAATTTGAACTGAATTTTCATATAAAATCCCCCAGTGTTGTGTTACTTGGTAACAAAAACCTTTTTACACCTTGATCGACCAAACACACAAATCACTTGAGATATTTCACCTCTTTTTGTTACAAAGAACACAATTACTTATGTCTATAATAGTTTAGATTGAAAGGGCTCTCATAGTTTGGTGTGAGGGGAGTACTGGTCTGGCGATTAGAGAAGAATGCATGTGTTTTTAATTAGGATGATGGTTCAAACCCCACAGTCTGCTACACTGGGTCGCTAAGCAAGACCCTTAGCCCCGTACTGCTTCCTATGGGATTGGTTAAATAGAGAATTGCAGGGATCAATGAAGTTGAATTATTTGTTTTCTCGTTACAGGTCAACTTTATGGTTACAGACACAGTAGAGACTAATCGTCGCAAGAGGAGAAGCATCAACCAATCTCAAGCAAGAGCGATCAATCAGCCTGCAGCTCAGCTGTACAGAGACCTGGCTCATGCATCAGGAGGTCAGGCCATTGAAGTGACAAAAGCTCAACTTCCTGTTGCAGCAGCAATTATTGCCCAGTCTGCCAGCTCCTCTGTGGTAATGTCTGAACAAATCAACATGGTTCTTTGTAAAAGATGTCTCTAGACTAAGCTGCTACTGTGATCTCTCAGGTGACCCTGCTGCAGGCATCCAGGAGCCCAGGACAGACGGATAGTTTTACCTTTATAGTTGATCAAACTGTTACAAACCTGAGAGTTTACATTACCGGCAAGTCCGTCACTTTCAAACTCACAAGCCCAACAGGTAAAACTACCTTTCAAAAGTGTTCAGCCTCTCATTATTAAGGGTGTTCAATACCAAAAACCTAGTTTATAGTTTGGAACTAATGTTTCAGGAGACACTCAAAGTATGTTTATCACTGTCCTTATTCCCAGGTGCATCTCAGCAAAGCACGGACTCATCGGGCTCATTGATCAACAACCTTCAGCAAGTGGGAAACTTCATTACAGCGCAGTTACAAAAACAAGTTGGGAAATGGAAAATAGAAATGGTGTCGACTAACCCCTATACCCTAAGAGTCATTGGTGAGAGACATGCAGAACATTTGGAGCTACAACCTAAGCCCTCTGACTGCTTTAAAATATATTCAGCAGAAGAAAACTCATTTTTTTTAACCATTTTCAGAGCACATTCCTAATCTTGTAAGATCAATATTACAACTGTTTACTATTGTTTTTGTATCTTGTTTCATTTCCATATTTTTAGTAAACAATAATCATGCATTTATTTTCCTCACTTTTATTGCTGTAACAAATTAAATGTATGAAATCACTAGTTGCGACAAGAACTCAAGATTTCTTGAACCTGTCATTATGTGGCACCCAATTTTCTTATCTTTTTACTAAATCACACGCAATAAGTGACACAGACATACAAGAAGTTTCTTAGGCTGAAGGGGAAGATCTGGCAAAAAAAATCCTATTGTGATTCTTTTTTTAACAATAACATCCCAGTCATGTAGTTATAGAAACCTGGAGCTTGAAAGAAATCTTGAAATCAGAGCATTAAAAAATATATTTTAATCAGTTGTTTTTTTTTTTATCATGCATCAGTTACACCTGCCATATTCTAAGTGGGTTATTAAAAAAAAAAATAGACGGGCTGTAATACAGTTTTCCCCAACTAAAAACCCAACAAAAACAAAAAAAAAAAACAGGGTAAAAAAAAAAAAAAAAAACTCCACTAAGATAAGGTATAAATTTGCTACTTCAAAGCTACTTTATAAAAATAAAACATGAAGAAATTAAGACAAGCAAAAAAATGGAACAAAAATGTACTGAAGCTTTCATCAATTGTGCCATCACTAGCCTGGAGTCTTCCTTATGCATCTTAGGCTTTGCAGCGAAGCTACTTTCCAGTTGCATCATTAGACTGTTGGTCTTGGTCGCTTGGTCTTTGTTTCTAAAACTAGGGGAGAAACTTTTAATGCCTTTGTGTTTGCAGGCCAGAGTTCTGTTGACTTCTTGTTTGACTTCGTCGTGCCATCTGAGGGTCCTTTTGGTGGATTTGATACTCTAGACACACGTCCCAGAGCCGGTAGGACCACCTGTCTGTATTGAATGTTTTAATCATGACTAAATTAGCATTAATTATACCTTTTTTGTTCTCCTAAAGGTGTCGCGGGCAGGTTGTTGGTGTCTATAGCAGGAAGTGACTCTGCTACTGTGAATGAAGTTGCTCTGGTGGAATCATCAGCTGGATCAGAGGAGATTACAGGAACTGTTGCTTCACAGGGGGATGGAGATTATTTAGTCCAGTTTGATATGATGCCAGAAGTGGAGTTTTCAGTTCGGGTGAAGGGAAGAGTTCAGGGTTCTTCAAATGACTTTCAAAGACAGTCATCCACTAACTTCAGAGCTTCCAATCTGACTCTTACTGTGAGTAAACGTTTGGTATGAACTCAGTGACCGAAAGTGAGAAGTAATACAAATTTAAATTTTAAACGTTTTGCTCACTTACGTTCTTTTTATCCAGGCTGATTCAGAAAACATCTTGATACCAGGGACACCAGTCTCTGTGCCCTTCACTGTGTCATGGACCGGATCAGATGGAAACGTAACCATCCGAGCCTCCAACAATAAAGGCTTTGACTTAACGTCTCCAAGCATGTTATTCTTGAAAGGTGGGAACAGAACTAATGGCACAGTGACCCTGTCAGCTCCCACAAACACCCCGTCAGGTTCTGACGTCATCCTGACCATCGAGGCAGAAACTCCGGATGGAACTGATTCCAACTACATCGTGCTGCGCTTCTCTATATTAAACTCGGTAAATATAAAACATTCCAACCAATCAAACCTCCTTCAAAGCTTATCTTAAATCTCATTTTAAACCCAGGTAACATTAGCATGTTATTTAAGTATAACTTCTACAGAAATATATATTTTTTATACCTAACTCATTAGTAATGGGTACAGATTTGAAAAAGTATCAGTGTTTCTATAAAAAAAAAGGACAAAGTCGCTTGCTGAAAGAAATGAGAATTTTCAAACAGTCCAAGAAACAACACTAGAAATTAATACATTGATCATTAAAAAGGCAAATTTAGTATGGTATTGTAGTGTAGTGTAGCTGTAATGCAACCATACCACTAAACTGCACTTATAGTGGTATTTGATCAAATATAAGGTATGTTGCTATTGATCTTCCATGGAAGAGAAATGGGGAAAAAAAGATGAAAATTCATCTTAATCCTGCTGCCAGTTGTTAGGTTTGTAAACATGGGGAATTGCCTTTCACGGAAGTCATGATTCCTTATTACTGTTTTTCTTTGTCCCTATAAAGATTAACAATTGCCCATCCAAACTCTTCATGTACAGACTTAGTACTGTAATGACCAACTACTAATACTGTTTGTAGATATTGTCCTAAGTTATAGAACACTAAACCAACTCCTTTATTTCCACCACAGAATGGGGATTTTTCCCATCCAGATTGTGAGCTGCTCAACCTGCAGTCCAACTGCCCTGAAAACTGCAGCAAATCAACATGGAAGCTTGATGTCCGGGTGACTGATGGAGATAACGGGGCGGGCGTTGACCGCGTCAGCCTCATCCAGGGCAACGGTACCTACAACACCAGCCTGGAAGCTGGAACTGTGAACATAACACTAGTGTCCTACACTGCATCCTGCTGTGCGCCTGAAATGGAGCTGTTGGTTATAGACCGAGTAGGTAACGTTGGCTCGTGTCTCTTCAGCGCCAGAGACTCTGTGTCCATTAGCGTCTCTCAGTCCCTCTCTCTGTGCCTCAGCATAGTGGCTTTAGGATACCTTTTGCTGAATTAAGTTAGTATTGAATAACTTTTAAAAGGTGCAATAGTTCATGTTTTTCAATCTAATATTTTTGTGTACAATCTTCTTGCAAAATATCTTATTAACCATTTGAAGAATATTGTCGGTTTTGAAGGATTAGCTGGTCCCTGTACTGGATGAAGCAGTAGGGATCCTTTCTGAAGGCCTCATTCTTTACTCCTTTTATTCCACTTTATGTGAAATGTACATCTGGATATAGATACTGACAGTTTAAAGAGCATTGGATCGGCAAAATAAACGTTTTATTACTCAGGCCGTTATGATGATGAATTCAAAACATGATTTGCAGGATTGTGTTTTCATTTTAGTCATACATTTTATTTCCCTGTTTTTGCCATTGTTGTAGAGTCAAGAAATATGCAAAGATTATTTTGGGAATAATAAATTAATATTGGTAATAATATGGTTTGATTTTTGTAATGCAAATAAAGATTTTCTGATATCAAGTGTGATATTTAAGTGTCCAATATGTTATGTCTCATTCCCTTAGCTTATTGAGTTGTTAAACTTTAATCTGACAGCTATAAATCCAGACAAAAGTCTAATTCAAATTAAACTACTTTGCTTTGTATCCTATGAAACAAACTTTTTCTTTTCTTTTTTAAACCAGTCGTAAGCAAATTCATTAACAATCAGGATAAAATTACATTCTATTTGCAGAGGAACATCTCAACCACATTTTGTTGGATTGCTTTTGAAGTGCATGTTGAACATCCAGTAAATCAAACCTGTAAATCAAATTCCAGCTTCAACATCAGTTTCAGCAGCCATATTTGTTCTTATACTACTGACACTGTGCAGAACCTTTTGTTTTCTCCTGAAAAGACATGCACACAACAAAGAACTTCACAGGGGCTCCTTTTTCTTTTCTGTGAAGGGCCTGCGCCAATCAGGGCAATGATGCATGTTAGTCCTGGGGACTCGGCTAAGAAAGGGTGAAACCCTGAATAAATGAGGAAGCCGCTTTAGAAAAACAAACATTTTTATTGTGATAATGTGACTAGGTTTACTCTTTTACAGGAGACAAATGCTTTTTTTGACATTTTTCTACAAGCTCCATACTTGTTTCCTGATCAATATTTACATTTTGAAATGTATTCAACGGTCTGAATGTCTTGCATACTTGTACGCTCCTTTCTCTATAATGGAGTTCTTCCTTTCTCTTTCGCTTTAGTTTTCTTTCTTTCTTGCAAAGCTGTTTGCTTCAGAAAAAAAAAGTATAATGGCCAAACCACTGTGTGTACATTTGTCATCTTAACAAATAAACACCAGCGTAAAAGCTGGAATTCAATAATTTCAGTTGAAAATCTTGTAAACATCGCAAACTTAATTTTTTTACATCCAACTTATCTATGTCCTTCAATTGCACAGTCCCACAACTCCATGGTTTTTCTGTCCATTCAATCAATAAAACTATGATTTCACAAATGAATAGCAAAAACAATAAAATCCAAGTTTGATAACATAACTTCAGGTATATTATCAAACTTGGATTTGATTTTTTTGGGTTTGGCTGTAATTTACAAATGATCAGTTATCTGCATTCTTTAGAAATATGTTAAAGGCACACCGCGGACTTTGTGACCTAAATAGTTGACGCATATTAGTTATTTTAAATGATTCCTCAGGCAAATATACAGTGCTTCACGGTAGTAATGCTACGAGCGGTGCTCCCAACTTGAAATACCGCCTATATAAGTTGGGGGATGACGCACCAAAGGCCAGGTCATGTGACCTGGAAGAATGTATCGCTGTACGGCAGCAAGCTCTTACATCATGGAGCTAAGGTTTTTGCTCTATTTTTCCGCCTGCTCTACTACTGGTCATGGCTGAGGGAAGGAAAACGTTTAAACCTTCTGAGGCCAAAAAGAGAAATCTTGAAAGGGATTGTGCCTGAGGAAAATCAAGAGACGATCATGGAAAGTTCGTTCATTGGTGCAGGCTAAAAGAAGAAGCCGGATGTAAAACCGATTGTCTTTTCTCAACATCATTATTAGACTAGTAAGTTAACACTTATCTCCTAGTATACAGTCATGTATCTTTGTTTTTTTGGATGTTGTCAGGGGTCTGCAGTGGTTTCTGTGCTGGCGCAGTCTTTGTTTTTCTTCCTCTCTGCCAAAAGCAGATGGCTGTCAGCACTAGGATGCCAGAGTGTTAGCCATATGTGGTTGTTTGGCTTCTAATCCCACTGCGGAGAACCAGATCTCTGTAAAGCAAATCAGGCTCTGGTCCACTCTCCAGCCTATCAGAGATTCAGGACATCACACCAGCGCTCAAATCAGCGTGACGCCCAGATGACTTTAACTTGCCACCACCCCACAAACTGATCGGCCGAACCCTGCCTAACCGTCTACTTACCAGCCTCCTCCTGCTTGGCAGCCACCTTCCCCGCTGCAAGCTCCTGCATATCCCACCTATGGACCTCCCCAGCCCGACTCACTCCCCCCAGTGGATCGTTCATGTCTCACGCTGTAAGCTTTTTAATGCTGTCATTTTCATCGTACACATACTCCCATTAACTATCGCTCTCTGTAGCAGTGTGCCTCACGCTCCCTTCGTTTCAAGACGCCCTGAAGGAAAATCTGCGTGTCGTCTTTGTTTTTTTTAAATAAACAAACTTAAATCTGCCCTTCCTGTCTGCTTGCTGTTTTCTGCATGTGGGTCAGAAAACTAGGGACCATGACAGATGTTTCGTAGAAGCAAATACCAGCAGTTACAGGTATAGCGTCCCTAGTGGCCAAAAGTTACACAGTGTGCCTTTAAATGAGGCAGTCTGGCTATGGATATTCAGAAGGGACATTTCTATGATAACGGTGATTCTAAAATTCAGACTGGTTCTTTAAGGGATGTGTTCACATGTGCATCAAGCAGTGCCATTGGTGTACTGGGAAAGCTTATTTTCCAAGTCACAGATCCGCTTCTCCTGTGACAAAACTGTGGCCTTCAGGTTCTGAAGCTCCTCCAGGAGTCTCTCAAGCAGCTGAGGCTGGGCAGGAACAAACATAACAAAAAAACAGGACAGATGCAGAAAGAGGGAAGAAAGGAAAACGTAAAGTAATGAAAAGGGGAGAATGATGAAGAAAGACAGAAAAAAAGGTCAAGGGTAGTGACCAACTAGAGAAACTAAACTAAAACACAGATGGGTGTTTTGGGTAGAGAGGTTGTGCAAAAGTGCAATAAGAAAAAATAAGAAAAAAGGTTCAATAAAGGAGATGTTAGGCAAAAATATAAGGAAATGGTTGTTTTTTTAACAAAAATATTAATATAAACAATATTAATTATTTTAACAACATTTAAAATTTAAGCAGAAATATTATAATTAATTCAATCAAGTTTTTATTTAATTTCAGTATACTTTGACAATGCATTTGATATGGTAAGTCTGAACAGAAAAGATCCAAAACTTACAGGCAAGCTGTTGGTGTCCAAGGTAGACATGCTACGTCTGGTGGTGGGTCTGGATTCCAACACGTTCTTCTTGGCCACTTTCAGCTCTCGGCTCTTCGGAGGCACGTAGCCATCCCTCATGGAGATCAGGATGGGGTCTTCATCACGACCATCCAACCACTCTTCGGGCTCCATGGCAGGATCTGGGCCTGCTGTGTCAGGGTACAAGTCATCCTGGAATAGGTCGGACTGTACCAGAGAGAGTCCAGGAAGGAGAGCAGGGTTACTTTTATTGTGTTTCTCCAGAGCAATTGCAGCTCTTTCAATATGCATGCCTAAAGCTGCTGTATGTTATAAATTTGCTGTTTAAATGTGATACAGATTAAAGCAACACAATATCGGCATAATACATATTCACTAATAGGGACAAATTGCAATACCGATACTGTGGATGATTGATCTAAATTTCGGACCCTTTTTTTGTGTCCTTTTTCACGGATATAGCTTTGGGAATCGCTTCTTAGAGTTAGAGTTAGATGATAGCCCAACAGTTTTGGCTTCCACATGCAGAACATTAGGGTTCTTGTCATAAGGTTCCACTTGGTATTTGTACAAGCGCACCCTTTCTGAGGCTGTCATTCTATTGGCTGAAAAGGTTGCTAGGTGACGATCCGATCAAATCTGAGAGAGAGCAAAAAAAATCCACAAGCAGAGCCTACGGGTTTGCGAGCGTAACTGAGACTCGAGCAGAGCGCGGTTTATGCGCGAAGAGAAGGAGGCAAGCGAAAGGAGAAAATATCTGTGCAAGAAGCATTAAATCTGAGAGAAGAAACAAAGATTTGAGAGAGAAGACAAAATATTTCAGAGTGAGCGCATGTTTTGAGTGTGAGCATTATAAGTTTTGAGTGCAAGAAGATTAAATTATTTTCTCAAATTTAAATTATGTGCTCTTGCATTATGGCAGGATAATTCTCCCATACTAGACCAGTTGATATAGATTATTTTAAGGTTTATATAAATTGTGAAAGTGGTGATGGAGCAGTGTGGGAAATAATTACAGTTTTACTACTGCATAAATGTAAAATAAGTCTACACACAGTTTGTACAACCATCAATTCTTAGCGAGAAGCTTAGCACTGTAAGCAGTGTCAGCTGCACTTACTTTCCTAGGAACGGTCATGGTGATGGGCTCACACTTTTTATCAAGCAGCTTGTACAACCTGGAAGAGAATACACGGTTGCAATGAATCAAACGAACAGTGATACATCAGCCATGTGTTTATTACATATGATTTCTAAATAAACAATGGTCATAAATAATTTACAGAAATTAGCATTACTGGATGATGTAATGGTGTCACAATAAAATAAGTTATAATGATTTTGGAATGATTAAAATAACCTGTGAGTAGCATAACATTTACTGTGAGAATAGAGAGGCGAAAATACTAAAAAGAAATCACAGAGCACTTTACTAAAGCACTTATTGGAGTAGTGCTGCACCTGCAGTATCTTACCGTGCAATCTCACATTTGGTAACATCCACTCCTCTCTTAGGCATGAAGCCCATCCCTCTTTGGGGCTCCTTACTGCTGAAGGTGTTGAGGTAATGGACATATGGCGACTCCTCTGTGATCTCGAAGTAACGGATACTGCTGTCCCCCTGCGAGAGTAAAAAACCAACAGATTGAACCTTCTAACCATAACAGCTCACTGCCTTAAAGGTCAATGGAGAATTTTCATGAGTTTTGGAAACGACCCGCCCTCTCCACTTTAAATAAAATACACATGCACAACCCTGTACCCGCTCCCGAGAGGGAACGCTTATTATTGCGAGAGAGTGCACAAGCCAATTTCTCCTCGTGCACGCTCTGTTTAAAGGTTGTTTTTTGCATTGTTCATACAAGCTTACTTTCCAAAAGAAGATTTGCAATTCCTCCACTATGCCAGACTCACCACTGGTAAGTGAAAATGGGGATGAGCATGTAGGATGGCGTTACGTAAACATATCACCAGAATGATTGACAATTAGGAGGACCACTTGTTTTGATGATCCACCCGGAAAAAGAACATCCTCCACTATACCTTTAATTAGAGTTAGAAATATGACTATTTGTAAAACATATTTATACAAAAATACCTAACTTAACTTAACTTGAATGCAATGCATATTAAGTAGGATCAAATTAGAATTTATTCTTTGAACTTTATCCATTCTACAAACTGGACCGATCACAGGTATAAAAAGGACTGTTTGTGCTTTGAAGTTTCCTCATATAATCTCTTTGTTGAATGATGATTAATAGGATCAATATTTGACATTTTGAAATAAAGAACCATGTACCTTTCCACACAAGTAGACCATGTTTGCGTCTGCATCATAATAAGGTAATAACACTCCGTTACTTGTGTCCAACTCCAAAAGTGCTATAGGCTCTTCAAAGTTTGTCTGTAAGAATAAAAACAATAAATTCATTCAGCCTTATTTTGCAATTTGATCAGCCTGTTTTCTTTTTGCTTCCTGGTAAAGACTTTTTGAAATGTTCTGTTTTGTTACCGGGTCCCAGAGGCCGAGCTCTCTCTGGCTCATCCGAGTGAATCCGGTTGTGAAAATGTTTCCGTCTCTTATGAAAATGGCTCTCATCGGTCGGATGCCCTCATGTGGAGCCAGCCGTTCCTGTTAGAATAACAAGGAAAGATGTAACAACAGAAGTTTTTTCCTGGATAAAACATTTTCTTTATCAAATTCCACAGGAACAAAAATCCAAAAGGCTAATATGGCCTTTCACTTAGAGTCCAGCTCTTCTTAAAGTTCATAAGTCAATGACACTCTTTTCTCTTACCTACTACAGACTGGAAAAAATATAACATCATCTTGTATAGTTTAATGTTTTTTTTTTTTTAGAGGGACTGATCTGGACTTATCTGTCCTTAGGACTTTGATGGAAGAAGATAACTATTGACCAAGAAAACTACGAATTAAAGACCAATTGTGGAAAAGTGTGTCTCCTTTAATAAGACAAACATATGAGATTCTCTAAAGTTTTGGATCATCTTACACATCATATTTTCAAAAGTTTGATACTCCCAGCAGTGGATGTCAATTATAAAGGATATAATGGTGGTTGAACATCTAGCATATAAATTGAAAATAAAAGAAGATATGTTTGCAAAAAAAAAAATGGGGGAAGGGTTGACATTTAAGGGAAGACATGATTAACCAGTTGTTTACAACAGTAACACAGTTTCACATAGGCTCTGCTCTTTTTGTAAGTTCCATTTGCTTTAGTTGATTTTATTCGTTTTGTGTATGTTTCACTCCTACAATGGGACTGGTTGTCTTGTAGTGTTTTCCAGCTGTGAAAGCTGAATATGATTTTTTTTTTTAAACTCTACACAACTTTATCCCTGACTGGTTCTGTTTGCTCATTGATGTTTTGATTAATCTCTAAGTACTTGCAACCCACTCACCGCCACCACTTCCCTCTTTCGAGGGTCACATACACGCAGGCGTCGATCCTTACAGGTGGTGCAAAACAAGCTGCCGTTCCGGTTCCAGCTGACGCTGTAGATTAGATCTGGATGGTCGTCCATGGAGATGAGAGGTTCACCTGTGCCCACATTCCAAATTATGATCAGGTTGTCACTGCCTGGAAAGGGACAGGGCCAAAAAAGAAACATGTTTATTAATCTTCTGAAAGCTTTCTCTGGTTTCTAACATCACTGCTACTTAATAAAAAGCTGTATCTGTGTTTATGGATCCTACCGGCAGTGAGGAGGATGTTGCGTGCTGTGGGGTGCCAGCTAACGATTCCGACTCGTTTGGAGTGTCCCTCTAACACGACAACGGGATCAGAAAGGGGGCGGGTCAGGGAGTGATCTGGGATCTGCCAGACCTGAAAAACAAAGAAACTAGTTTGTTATTATCTGCTAAGTCAATGCTGCAATAAATCTTTAAAGTGTTGAACCTTAAAGTGTTAAATCTTCAAAATACAGCTTTATCATTAGTTTTAAATTTTTACAACACAGGAAATAAGAGATGAATAATTCAGTGAATAAATTCTCATATAATCTATTTAGAATGTTAACAGGAAAACTATAAACTAATTGAATTGTATAATCTTTTTACTCTGTAAATTAGTTACAAATTTAACTATTAGATTTACATGATATCCCATTTTTACTTAACATAATATTCCATTCAGTCTAGTGTTTTTTAAATAACTTTACAGTATTTTTTTTATGTTGTAAATTTGCCTTTACTAGTCCCTTGGTCTTGTTTGTTTGTTTTTTTTTTACACCTGTGTGCATCTGCATTTTTCATTTTCCTGCTGGTACATCTAACTTTCTCCACTGTGGGATGATAAAGGTTATTTCTGTTTTATTCTAAAGAATCATTAAACAAGTTATTTATTCATTGGATAGTGACACTTTAGGCCTTCAGATTACAGGGAGCAGTTTATCCCTACCCTATCTTTAACATTATAAATTAAATCTTATGAAATTAATGACTCAACCAAGTACGGAAGCGTATTGCATTCACCAACGCAAAAATCTCATTATTACGAGATATTGATCTCGTATTTAGAATTTATTATGTTTACATTATAGACCCTTTGATTTAAAAACTTAATTTAGTAAATTGTCCTGCCAATTATCTAGAGCTGGTGTCATAGATACTTTATGTCTCCTTATATGATCTATTCCATCAGCTGGATGGACCATTATTGGCAGATTTACCATGTTTGTAACAATAAATTAAAACATTGACTTCATATCTAAGATGACAGCTGCACAAATGAAGTCCATCATGTTCATGTGTACTATAGTCATCAATCAAAACAGGTGCAGCAGGATGTTTAACGACTTCAAATGAGTCACATTTATCTAACTCTGTTTAAGGAATGTTCTTCTTTTGTTTAGCTTATTCAGAAAGTTATTCATTACATGAAAGAAAGATTTTATTATTTCCCAACCAAGTACTAGTGTACAATAGGAACAGACTGTGAATGAATGTAGTAAGCTCTTTTGTGTGAAACAGGTGGAGTTAAGTAATCAGTAATTAAAACATGTAGAGTTATCTGTTAACACTGCACAGACTTAAAGATCAATGTTTCAAACATTTAATCAAAGTTCATAGTATTTAATAGTTGTCTGCTCTTGGACATCAGAGAGAGTTTCAAATGTAAACTCCTTGCAAATGCTCTGTAGTTTTAGGAGCTCTTTTCACTTGAGCTCTGGTTTCCAAATTCTTTTCCAAACAGGTCAAAAGTTATCAGGTTGAAAATGCGTGTGCACCACAGTTTTAACTTTTTTGTTTTTCTTTAAAAACTGTTTCACTTTGTTGCACTCAACAATGGAAATCTGCCCCAAAGCAGGTTAGGGTTTTGCAGCATAAGTGGCCTTTGTGATAAAAAATTGAACCAGCTTTATAATTAGAGAATCCCAGTAAGAAGCTGAAGTTACCTCGATAATCCTGCTTAGCATACAGGCTCCAGGAGAGGACCGAACAACTTGATTATACTCTCAGTAATAAATACAAACATGCAGTTTCTACACAGAAGCAAAGCATCACTCGCACATTAACTCTCTCTACAGAGCCTTTCCAGCTGGTACAATGACCTGACTGTAAAATAAAGAGAATGACTTCAGAGTTTTGGCCTTTCTGTAAATCCACTCTGGAGACAGCTGCATCTGACTGTGTGCTGTTTGATATAAACAAAGACCATCTACAGTACAAATTCACACACACACACACACACACCCCATACACATATCTAAACAGTGTTGGTGCAGCTGCTACCCCCAAAAAAAAAACAGCAATCCAGTCATTACATCATGCAGATTCCTGCCAACATTGACATGAACAAGTGGGCGTATCAGAGACAGGTGCTCCAATGCACAAATGTTGAAACAGGCTTTGATTGTTCAGCTAAAAATGTTACAGCTGACTCACATACTAGATGCCATAATGCACAACACTCCATGTGTTTTATATGCCAGAATATTTAATCTTAAAAAATGAAGACATTAAAGAATAACATGTATTTTAGAGTTTCGTGATAAAATACATCCTCAATTGGGGAATGCTGTTCAATAAATTCCAGTTTGAGAATATTTATGTTAATCTCCAATGGCATTAGCAGTATAATAAAAAAGAAAATTATCTCTGTTATGGCTAATATTATCATAAAAACCGAAAATCAGTTTTACATTTGTTGAAGATTTTTTTCAGGAGAGAAACATGGGGTTTCCTCCTGAGACGTGCCTCCAAAGGATCCAAGAAGCATCCCAATTAGATCAACAGATCTTTTTCAAAATTCCATCAGATCACACAGCTTCTTATCGCATCTCTGAGGCTAAATCAAGTCACTCTGAAATGAGTGACCTGATTCCAGAAAGTCTCAGACAGTTGTCTTTGTGATTTTTTTTTTTTGTTTGTTTAAACCATATGTAATGACCAAAGGGGAGGGAATGTAGACCGACCAGTAAATCAGGAGCTGTGTTTTCTGACAACTATTTCTTCATCAAGGCAGGTTGGGAAAGGGAGCGCAGAACTGCAGATGAATCTCTTAAAGCCATCTCCCACGACATCCTATCATCACTCATAAACACAACACCCAGCTTCATATGGGAACATTACTTTTCAAGTTATATGAATTAAGTAGAAATAAAGTAAAATATATATATATTTTAAAATGCAATTGCTGTAATTTGAGTGTAAAATTGGGACATGCCTCCCATTTATTCCCACTTAAAATGTCTGAAATCAAACACAGCTTAGTCACATCAGGTGCCTGTTTACATATTTACTCAGAATGCTTCAGGTTCGTCCTGTTTAAACATTAGGCATTTAGTTTGTTAAAGGAGGACTTAACCCAGATACAATCTAATGTAATTAGTTTATCTCGTAAATTTTTGGCTTAGTGAAGCTTAAAAGGTAAACAGATTTATTTTACTTTTCATCAGAACTCTTGCTACAGTATAACATTTTGGAAAGGGAGTCTGGTCTCAGATGCATTTTGTGGACTTCCCAATAGTAAAGACAGCACTTAATGCCTGTTTTAGGTTATATTAAAAAATACATTACACAAAGTAAAAAGGAAATATCTCATTTCTATTAAACTCTATATTATTATTTTTTACTGTAACACATAATTTCTTTGAAGTGCTAAAGTTGATTTGACTAAGTAAAAAGTTTCTTATTCAAACTCTCACACTCTTGTCCAAAAAGTAGAACTTCTGTCTTGTCTGAATCTTAAGAAAAACAAATTTAAAGTCACCCATGTTTCATATATATATATTTCAGACATGCCTAAAATCTTCTTAGCTGATTGGATTTCACCACAAGTAACACAAGTAAATCATGTACATGACCATCATGGAATTTGTCAACCAGATAAAACTTAAATCATCCCAAACCCCTAAAGATCATCCAATCTTTTTTTAATGGAACATTCACTGATTTAAATGCAGCACTGAGATATGAAGCCATGAGAATATTATTAGTGACTTTAACCGGCGCTGTTTTAATGTTATGATGAGCTCTAAAATCTGACTGAAACTCTTCAAAAAGGTCAAAACCATTTACCCTTTTCATCATTAAAATAGTGTCCTTAAACACTAATGGAATTAGAAAGAAGAACCTCAGGACTAATCCAGCCTGCTCCTAGATCAAGCTCTATGCTGAGCAGAAAAAGGTTGAAGTTCATAGTAATTTTAAAGAGGACTACAATAAAGCTCTAAGCCAGCAGTCAGTTTAAATGAGCAAAAAGATGAAGTAGGACTATTAGTATATGCGCTATGACTATAGATACTATGGAGGACAATAAAGACCTAACATTGTGACATTTTTAACATATTTCTAAGCTATTGTTCATAATAGAAAACCAAAGCCAAATTGATCACAGTTAAACAAATAACCGAAGAAACAAGGAAATAATCTGTTGCATTTGTAAGGATTTGTAACAAAAATAAATATATTTTTTTAGATTCCATTGAGCTGTACATTAAAAATTGTTGAAATAGATCTTTATATAAAGCATAAAACAAACCCAGCTAGAAAGCTTTGCAAGCAGATAAATCAATGCAGCTCATTTAATAAATATTTCAACTATCTTTTTATTCTATAATTTTGGGTGTGCAGGCCTAATTTATACAGGATAATATTTAACAATAATATCAATAATAGACATGCTGCACGGTGGAGCAGTTTGTACCATTGTTGCCTAACAACAAGAAGAGGCAAAGTCAAATGTGTAGCCTTAGGGTCTTTGCATGGAGTTTGCATGTTCTTCCTGTGCATATGTGGGTTTTCTCCCATAGTCCAATAACATCACTGTAAGGTTAACTGGTGACTCCAAATCCCACTAAGGTGTGAGTGCATGGTTGTGTGTCTCTGTGTTGCACTGCAATGAACATCATTCCTCTTCAGACAATAATCTGCGTGCCCTACGTTTGTGCTAAAGGCTTATTTTCCACCCATAAACACATCTACACCATAAAAAAAATAAAAAATAAGACAATAGAAATAGTAATACCATTGCAGTGCAGTCTTCTGAGCAGCTGGCCAGGATGTTGTCATTATGAGGGCACCAGTCAATATCCAGCACAGGTCCAGAGTGGCCAATTACAAGTGGGTAGTTCTTATCCACACGCCCTGTCTGCAAGACAAAGAATAAAGTTAAACTATTACATGCATTTATTTATTTTTTTTAGTACATATCTGTGAAGATTCTCAGTCATCCAGCTCATAGTCAAGCCTTAAAGATGTATTTGTTTTTAACCAAACGCTTTAAAAATAAAGAATATCATAAAAACCTCACTATAAATCCTTTACCCAAAAAGTAAAGCAATCTGATTGTGAAAATAAAGTGCTTCACTTACTGATAATGAGGGAACTACACTGCTAACCTTCACCGTCTAAAACAGAGGTCTTTAATGTCAGTCCTCGGGGTCCGATATCCTTTATCCTTTAGAAGTGTCTCTGCTTCAACATACCTGAGTCAAATAATCAGGTCATAAGAAGGACTCTGGAAAACCTGACTAAATACTGAGAAGTAGTTTAGGAATTTGGGTCAGGCTGGCATTTAAAAATGAAATAAATATATTGTATCACAATTTAAGTCAGACCTTATGACAAAAGTATGAACTTGTGTTTCAATGAAAAAGGGTAAATTCATAGAATTAATATAACAACCATTTAAATTTATAAAATATTGTGTAGTTTTAGGAATCTTTCTTAAATAAAATAAAAAATATTTAAAAAAATTAATTTTTTGTGCCAGCTCAGTGAATCAATATCAAAACAACCAAGCATTTATTTCAATTGCTAAAAATTATTTAGAACAGCAAGAACGCTAAACAGCTTATCTTCAAATTTCCAAAGGTTTATGAAATACCACAAAGTCTTTCATAAATATAAATTTTAACATGTTGAATGTTTATACTTCACTGATTGGTTTCTGTTAGGATTAATAAAGCAATAAGGGCTGTTTTTGTGTACTGATATGTAATAACCAGACTAAAATAACTTAAAGAGCAGCCCAGGGTAGCCATACAGCACTGATACTTTATCTGAGTTTAACAAAGACCTGAACTGAGATACATTTTATAAAGAAAAATATGAATGCAATCCCATGTTTTCCTTATACATTCATGCCATCCAGATAAATAATAGGAATATTAGCAACACAATGCATGGCCTATCTTATTTTTTGATAAGATTTAAAGACATTTTGCTGAACTGGAGAGCTCCATCAGTGACAGACTGTATCCTAAATGCACCAGGGAACGTTATCACAGATCCTTCATCCAAGCTGCTGTAAGACTTTATAACCATCACTGTTCCAAATAACCTCAATAAGTTGTTACATTCATGCTGATTTTTGCACAGTTTCTTAGTCAGTTAAATAACATGCTGCTGTCATTTTGCACATCTCTGATGTTGCCACTATTTTCAAATATCCATTACTGTAAAAATGTCCATAGCTGTATAATGGTTATTTATTCTCCAGGTGCACAATGTTTATATTGTTAAAACACTTTACAGGATATTATTTCATTTGTTTAGTTTTTAACTCTTCACTATTTTAGACTTTTACTTCCATATCAATGCGTCTTTTTTTGCACCTACTGCTCTCTTATTTTAGCTTGCTAACAAGTTGCAGTGTGTTAACCAGCAATGGGAAAATTATATTATTTTGGGTCTGAGCAAGTTGCTGGGTAAACAGCATGATTGTGACCATGGTAATATATAAAATACTTTTAGGAAGTCTGCAAACACATAGCAGCATAAATAGATGAAATAGGAAAAAAGAAAAGCAAAAATGGCTGGCTCTTATCATGCAAACATGTGTATCAGCATTAGAAACATTTCCCCCTCCACACAGACACATGCTAAGCGAGGTGTATTTATAGATCCAATGACAGGCCGTTGAAAGGGGAGTTTTTCTTGTTGCCTGTTGGGGACCCAGAGAGGAGAGAGGGAGGATGAAGAGCAGTCCAGTGTTATAAATAGCCCAACTACTCAACATGACTTTTCAGTTTCTGCTTAAATATTGGATATTACTTTGCATTTTTAAATAATACATTTACAAACAATTAAGAAATATTATTGTTGAAATAAACAAGACAGATTAACAGAAGTAGCTACTTATTATCAATCTTGTGCTTTTTTTCTAACATAACTCAGAAAAGGCTTTACTATGAAAAAAAAACACTTCTTATTACTATAAACAATTATCATATTTTTTTATAAGACTTGAAATGAGTAAGCCCTCAGATAACAAATATTGTATACTAGCACAGTCTTTAAAAAGTTTTCTTTTTTTTTAAACAGCTAAGTCTCAGTGCCTATACCAGAGGTTCTTCACTGCTTGAATTAATGTTGAATGCACGGAGAATAACTCAAATAATTACTTACAATTATTAAAGCAGTCTAAGAAAGGATAACCACTTCTTAGAATACAGAAAAATAACAAAAATATTAAATAAAAACATTTTAACATAATCTAACTTCTTTTTATATAAAGGAGACAATCCTAAATAGTTCATATTGCTGCTAAAATAATAAAGTGAACTAAATGTACACTAATATTATAGAACAAATATTTAAGCATTTGTTTAATTGCAAATGTATCTTTTTGCTGTTTTGCGAGTTCAAAGAAAGCCAAATAGGCTGGTTAATTAGTCTGACTATGGTAATATGTATATAATTTTAGTTTTTTTATTATTATTATTATTATTAATAATAACACAAAAGCTTTATAGGATTTATCCTTTAAATATGTTGAGAATGGAACTAGAAGCAGGAATGAATAATAATAGTTTAATGTGCTAAATTGAAAATGTTCAATGTTTCTCAAGTGTTGATGTTGCACATGAGCTGAGAATCTCAGCTTTTATTTTTATAAATATTAATCACATCATTGTATAGAAAAAAGGGTGAGCTTTTGCAACTGTTTTCTTTTTTTCTGCTTGTCGACTTTCTCATTGCTTTTAGCTTTTAGGACCGCCACTAAGGAAGGAGATATTGACTTTTCTATGTATTTCAAACATTTGGAGGTCACAACAAATATTTGACCTCACACAGCTGTCTGCTGAATGCTTCGTCATAAATGACTGAAGCCTGTTACAGCCAAATGCTGCCACTAATTCAACCTTGACACAAGATTTACCAAACAATGAACATTATTTCAAGGTTATTATCAGGTTATAAGGGAGGTGGGGATAAGAGGGCAAGAACACGATCATGTTCTTACAATCTAATGGCAATCATTGTGGCATCAGGTTGAAATTTTAGTAAGTAACTAATGAACCACATTTTACTGCTTAGTACTACTATATTTATTGATATAAAAGATAATACTATTTACTTCATAAGAAATTATTGCGCTCATTTAAGAATCAAATCAGTTATTCATAACAAAATGTTGATATTTTTACAAACATTTTTTAATTGACATTATTTAACCTGTGATTATTTAATTCAATATTTCAGAATTGGAGAATCTGAGATGAGAATTTATTTTTATGTATGGGGAATTGTCATCAAATGAAGGGATTGCATCAAAAAATAATGGAGGTAACAAAAATCTAATCTCATTATTTCAAAAGAAATTACAGTGAAACTGTAATTTCCCTATAGTATTACAAAATATTAGATTTACAACAATAAAATTTCATTTATGGGAAACATTTGATCAGCTTGATTCTTACTGACCTTAGAGAGAGGCAAGACAAGAAACGCTCCTCCTCCGCTGGACTCCACAATGACAGCCAAGAACTTTGGATTGACAGCACAAAAGGAGCTGTCCCATGTCACCTTGGAGACCCGGATGTCATCGTAAGCCTGCTCAGCTTTGACAGCCTGCCCGAAGACGTGGCGAAACTTACTCTGCCGCACGATGCTGCGACTCATGACTAGGGGAGAAGCACAAGCAGGATGGTACATAAGGAAGAGGACTAGGTTGACAATTAGGCAAAGAAGGACTAAAGCTCATTAAAGAAAAGAAAATTTGCAATATTCACAAAACCAGTGCTATAATGTCTTGTGGCAGAAAATCTTGCACTGTTGAATTTTCTATTAGTGTCAATTCTGCCTCCTGGAGTGCTGTAAAGTTGCTGTTATCATGATTCAGTCTAAATTAACCCCAAAATACTGGATCACAGGTATGTGGGGGAGATTGAAGCTTAAAATTGTACTATATTTATAACTATCACTATTTTTTTCAGATGAAAAATGAAGCAATTCTTCTATTACCAGAGTTTTGTACAAAAAATCAGAGTGATAGACAAGATTTGATTGAATCGTTAACCCTGTGAGAATACATACGAAGCGCTGGTTCAAATACTAAAATAACTTCCTAATTGGTTGCTTTATTCTGAAGCCAAACCATGACACATCTGCCTGCATGCTACACAGTTAATATGAGGCTTTTCCATGGAATGCTTTACCTTGTTAAAATCAAAAATAAGATGTCTTCTGGTGTTCATCCATCCATCCATTTTCTATCAGTCAATTAACATAACAGTCATGTTTTTGGACTTTGGGAGGAAGCGGGAGTACCCAGAAAAAACCCCACGCAGAAAGACTGGGAATCGAACCTGGAACCTTCTTTCTGCAAGGCAGCAGTGCTTCCCACTGCGTCACTGAGCATTAGTTTATTAAGTTTATTTACAAAATTTTAATCAAATATAAACACTGCAGTGTCATAATGTTGATATCATGTATTGTTTAAATTCTAAAATTACTTAATTCTTCCAAAATATTTAGGTCAAAACTACATAAAAAAAATTACATTTTGATATGAATGTTTTAGAAAGTGGTACAGAACACTAACTAACTAGTAAATGATGCACAGCCTTGTAAAAGATACATGCACACTTTAGGCATTAAACTAATGCACGCATGCAGTTTTTGTTTTTGTAAATCAAGTCATTTCCTCTATAACTTAATCAATAGAAATCTTGTAACTAACATTTTTTTTTTTTCATTTTAATTCTTCTGACCATGAAAAAAAAAGTAACAGGGCTATTTTTAAGATGTTGGACTAAAACTAGCACTTTTGACCTGTAGTAATTGAATTTTCCACTAGAGGGCGTAAGGCATTAGTAGGATTTGAGACAAGTTTTCTTTTAGAAAACATGTTCAATAAACAGCTTTGGTCCAAAAATGTAATAATAATAATAATAATAGATAATAATAAATGAAGATTTTTTTTTTTTAAAAAAGCTTAAATTCTTATCACCTCTAGTCCAAAAATATTCAGTCTGATCAAACCTGAACAACATTATTCTACATTTAACAGACATGACAAGCAGCTTTAAATATCATGAAAACATTTCCTCATTTTTTTTTCCAATTTGTTTTAGTTTTAGGAGTTTCCTAAATTATCATATATTGATCAGATTATTCAAAGCCCATTAGTTTTGTGTTTTTATTAAACTTGATTTGTTTGTTTTTTTAAGTTTTAGTTTTTCCACAAACATTAAATGCTAATGTTCTCATAAACCCAATAGTGTCTGTGTACAGTTATTTGATTTAAATACAAATGGGTTTTTTTACATTTCAAATAACTAATCTATTAACACTTTTTTTTATGAAAAAGGTCATGTGTTTAAAAGGAGTGTTTAAAAAAGAATTTCATCCCTCTTCATCCGTTATATATTTTTATGTGGACACTGTCTGTTAGTTGAGGAACATCTTGCAGCTTTAAATATCCCTGTGCGCTAGCTACATGACCTAAAAGCCCTTCAAGCTTTTAGCTGCTTGCTGATAGACGACTTGCTGTACAGCGGCTACTGCAGGCTGCAGAGCGGCAGACCTCTAATCCTCCAAAACACAGGGGATATTGTATAACAATGTTTGCAATCAGATATTAATAGTAGAATGTCTGAGCAAATATTAGGTTTCATAAAAAAAATGAAAAGCAATCACACATAAGGGGATAAAGCAGGAATATATTCTTCAAGACCGCACTGAGAAAGAATTTGATCTGAACGTGAAATATTGAAGAGCAGTATTTCAGTCACCTCTTATTCTCTATGCTTTATTTCCAAACTGCTGCATCTTGTTTTAATCTTTTAAAGTGGTCTTGATCAGAATATTTTTCAAGCTGTTCAAGCTTTACATTGAATTATGGCTGCTTATTCAACAGCAAAGTTTTCATTTCATTAAGCCACTTTAATTCAGAGCCTTTGTTCATTTAGCTATAAAAAAAATATTCAAACTATTAACTAGCTATTAAATAGATTTCTGGGCATTTTGATGTTACAGTACAACCTATAACAATAGGACATTTTTATTAAACTGCCTTCAATAGAAATACACCAAATACCACAGAAAACCCCAGTCTGATCAAAGATCAAATAAGCTATTCATCATCTAAATGACTCCCAAAGAGTGATTTGCTAAAAAAAAAAAAAAAAAAAAAAAATGGCTTACATTAGTCTAAGGTGATGTAGCAGCCAGGTCCTGCAGATATGTTGTTTTTAGCTATACTTTCCAGTTTCAAACTCCACAAAGGTTAAAAAAGTAAATCATGTTTACATTTCCTAATACATTTTTAGTCATTTGCTTTTTAATTATATTAATACGTCTCCAGAGAAACCAATATGTGGAGTGACGAGAGTTCTCTTAGACAGGTGTATCCAATGTGGTGCCCAGGGGCCATTTTCTCATTTAAAGAGGCTCCCAAATGCAGCTTTTGAAGGATCAAATTTGCTGTCTATTTAAATTCTTATCATAACAGTAAATGTTGGCATAGCATAACGCAAAGTATTCCCTCTAATAGCCATGCTTCATTCATTGTTCTTAGTTTGTCATTAGATAGAACCACAAATGCCTAGTAAATCTGACTTATGGTAAAACTAGACTTGGACCCCTTAATATACTCTTCATTCTATTACAGCTATAAACATTTGTTAAACATAGTAGTATTTTTTCCTTAATTGACCCATTTCTCTTTATTTTTCTTACAATAGACAAAAACAATCCTTACCCTCAACTTTATACTTCTAAACATTTATTATTTTGACCCTTAATTATTTAGACCACATGACAAAAATTGTAAACCCCACTGACAGAAAAATGTAGCCTGAGCATCACTTAACAGAAAATAAAAGAAATAACAGAAGAAGTTAGATAATGTAAAAAAAAAAAAAAAAAGCAGAGGTAATCACATAAGAATCTGACCAAAATCTATTTATGAAGAACTCATTTAAAGAATACTAATGATTGGAAATTTGTGCCAACAAGCTGTGAAAGTCCAAACAAACTCTTTGGAAAACATAAAAATTGCTGGGTTAACTTCTTATCTAAACAGTTTTAAGGTATATGAAGAACTTTCCGCTGCTTAGAAATATAGATTAAAGAAATAAAAGTCTATGCATGGGTTTCAAAGATTGTAGAATAAAATGTTGAAGAGAGCCCACTGAAAGTGAGATGTTGGATGACTTCACAGTAGAACATACAACTCAGAAATGACCTCAAATAGCAGGACAGACATGACTTAACAAGGGTGATGAGGGTACAGGAAGCCCTAGCTGCTTTCCTAGAAGCTCTACATTATCTAGAGATTTACATTCCAGCCTGCGGCCTCTGAAGCATTTGGGGCTCTTAGATCTGAAAATTGAACTTGTATTTTTTAAATAAAGTTTTTATATATTTTAAAACATATTTAAGCATAACAAATAAAACAGACTATTTTTTTTATATTTCATCAAGCATAAACAACATTGCATAAGTGTTTTGAATAAAGTTGTATGTTAGTTCTTCTCATCATATATGGTGTTCAACAGAGATCTAAGGCTGATATGATAATACTGGGTGACATATTACATGATGAAAATTATTTTGATCAGGAGACATTCTTATTTGGAGCAAAAAGTCAAATTTGCATTCGGCTTAAATCTAGCTTAGCAACAGTAATAAAGCAAATGATACACCGTTTGCTTGGAGATGTAGTTTTAGAACGTTTTTCTCTATCACAGTAACTTGCTATGATTTACAAAGTTCTTCTCTCTTGTCATGTGGAAAAAAAATGTTCTACTAAAAAAGGTAAGTGCTTTTTAAGAAAGCTAACCGCAGAAGTTTCAGAATAATCTTTGCAGCAGAAAATACAGTTTAAAAACAAACAAACTAATAGGATCTAATTGGGATTTAAATGTATGTGTGAGGATGATGATTTTAATAAAGGTATTTTAATCACGCAGTTTATAAACTGTAGAAAGATTATGTTTATTTCATAAATTGGCCATTATTGTCAGTCAGCAGGAAACTTAAACTATAAAATTCAGAACAATTTAAAGTTTGTTGATTAGTTTCCCCATAACTCTTAACCTGCCTGCCTCCATTCAGTGAGTGATGTTAGCCCCGTTGGGGTGCCATTGGTAAAACTGCAGTACAATTAGAAGGGCCTAGGACAGAGAGTTCATCCAGATAAATTAGTTTTCCCTCAACAGACCCTCAAATACTGCAGGCTAACAAAGAACCCAAATGACTCCCCAGGGGTGGAACTGTTCTTCTGGTTCAATTTGCATGTTTTCTAAGCCAAAACAAGTTTTTGGGCTACCATAAAAAGCTTTGAATTCAGTTCTAGTTCTGACATTTTGAATTGGAAAAGCTTCCTGGAGGGGAAGCGAAAAGTCTTCAAACTTGGAAACAAAGTCCAATGGATTGTAGTTTAACTTTTTTGCAATGGCTATGACCTGGAATGCTGAGAACCTTCACCAGTATTTTGGAACTAAGAAAGTATGTTTCCCCACTCTAGATCTGCTTAATTTGAATTTACAGGCACTAAAATAAAAATCTTAACTTTATTCAATCTTAGAAATAATCCAGAACTGTTTATATTATTTAAGTAGGACGTGTTAAGCTTCATCATAGCAAAAACCAAAATTAAATAAATAAATATTTTATCTTTAGGCTCTTTGGTTTCCTTTTAACTACCCTAAGTTTATCAGTGGACCATAAAATTCCCTTTTTTCTATATAAAAATGAAGAAGTGTGTGTAAACTGGTAATTTTATATGCTATTAAATGATTGTCCAAGTGAATAAAAAAAACTCATTAGTCTGAACTGCTTTTGTCCTAGCACAGGTTAATGAGAAAGCCCTCTGTGCGCGCGCGTGTTGCGCATGGCACAGAGCGAAAGAATGACACTGCCACTTTCCTAATATAGACATGACGGACTGATGTGTCCCACCCAGGAGCCGCTCCTCCCACCTGCCTGCAACGTCCCAAATAGTCCCAGAAACCAGGCGGCGGACCCTGTGGCGCTGCAGCCCTCAGTAAATTAAAACGGCCCCTGCGCAAACACACATAAACAGCAGGACATAACTCTGAGAGGTGAGGAAAGTCAGGGGCTGTTTGATGTTCCAGCACTTTGCCATAGAAGATTTAGCAGCAAGGTGCGGAGTCTTCTAGTCTCCATGCGTTAGAAGTAAGCCACCACACATCTAACGCCAATGCAGCAAACACAGACGCGCCTATCCGAGCAGAATCAGCTCACCTTAGGTTTTGGGGAGACCCCTCTTCCCTTGACAACTTCTTTCTATTGTGTTGCCCCCTCCTCTTCTTCTTCTCTATGGATTATGTTTGAATTATTTCAGTATCCTGCGATCCTCTGTCCTGAAGTGCGCACTCCTGGCGAGGGGACGCACTGGGGGATCTGCGCGGCGCAGGGGGAGAGAGAGAGCGAGAGAGAGGGGGGAGACAGACAGAGCAGGCAGGCCAGGCGGGTGGGAGGGTGAGGTACTGTCTATTTTGGAATAGGCTCAGTCAGTACGTGGAAACGCGAGCTCAAGGGGTGGAACTGGGCGTCCACGGATGAGAAGAGGTCAACCACTGATGCAGCTTGGGCATTACTTAAAGGGCTACATAAGAGATACAATGGTGTCATTCACACTGACAAAAAATACAGCTCTTTTTGGCATTTACTTGATCATATTTAGTGACTTTAATACAATTGTTTTGTTTCCTACCCTGCTAACATGAAACAATTGTGTTAAAGTCACTAAATATGATTAAGTAAATGCCAAAAAGTGCACTGTTAGAGTTGAATATTGAAAACTAAGGTATCAACTTTAATGCACTGTGTGTACAAATGTATTAATAACCCTGGTGGAGTGGAAACAAAAACATTCTTGGTGTTAAAACAACTACTCAGGTTTCATTTAATCAGTTTTGACATTTAAAAAAAGAGAAGAGCTATAAAAGTGTGGTATTTTCTTATAATTCCAAAGTGTGGAAAAAAAAGTCGTTAAAACATCAAATACCGATTTTGAAACACCATTTTCTGAATCTTGCTGTCAGTGCGATTGCGGATCAGATTTGTGGCACTGAATGAAAGAATGAAGCAAAAAAAAAAAAAAAACACAGGACATCATTTCATCTTTCATTTTCATCTTCTCTGGAAATCCCAAAAGTTGGAGTGCAACAATTTACCACTCAATTTCCTTTATTTTGGGTGATTGGCCGATACATGAAACTGATCTTGACCACTAATCTTATCTACCCTCGGCAAAAGTCCAGTAATCAGCCACCATCGATGCTCTAAACGTTTCATTTATATTTGTCATTATTGAGTCCAATTAAAGCTAATTTTTTGTTTCGCGGGTATTCGTTTACATTTTTAATGAAATAAGATAAAATTGGAATCTGCATGTCAGGCTTTTAAAGGACGGTTATAACCCAGGAAACTGCTATCAGTGCACCCCTAAAACAGTAAAACCCTCTTAATACACCTTCATTTTCATAACATTGAAATTAAAGTGTAAAGGTAATGATACATCCAACAAATATTTCAAGACCGTTTCTGTCCCAGTGCATATATCCATTAGAAATGTATTCAGTATTGCTTCTGCAGTATAGGGACCATTACAGGGGATAGAACCAGTACTACAGGGGCCCCGGTCACAGCACTTTTAATACAAATACCTACAGGCAGGATTGTAAAGTACATGTTTGAGCACTACAAACCAATTCCAGTCACAAGAGATGCTATGTAGTGGATCAATTACTTGCCCAAGATAAAAGCCTTAGAAAAAAAAAGTTTGTACAGTATGCATGATAAATATCCTTAACTATAAACTGGATGTGTTTGGTCCACATCTGCTTAAAAAGTGCTTGTTGTTCATCAGTGAAGCCATCAGAAGGGCAAGTAGCATAAAATGGTACTGAAGTTAATATCACCTAAAAGTATCACTGGAAGAATACCAAATTAACTGAAACATTATGAATCCACCCATCAACGGACACTAGAGGAGCACCTCAAACCGATCAGAAGGAATGGGCAAAAACTACTTGCAGCTAGAAATAATAACCTGTACTTTCTAGTATCTAGACCTACAGATCCCTTTAAAAAGACTCGCAGAAAACTTTACATTTAATAATCTCCATTTTTTAATGGTCACAGTTGAAGTACATAATATAAAATATTTACAAATAAAGATTTAAATGAAATTCAAAATGTATTCGACATTACACGCACGCACACACACACATACCCGACACCTACTACAGCCCAAGCATGCTCCCTAAAAGTAGCAAACCCACATAAAGTCCCAATTAAATGTAAAAAAAAAAAAAAGGGAGTAAAGTGCACGTATGACAAACATCCCTGTACAGACATTTCTGATTGCAGAGAAGCTTCACTTGCCAGTCACAGGCACACTCCTAAAAGCTGTACAAAAGATATTCTTTCAAAATAAAAGTGAAACTCAGTCACCAACACAATTCAGATGTAAAAAAACAAAAATAAAATGTACAGTTTTTAAAACACTCAGAAAAGATTTGCTTCCAAAATAGATCACAGCAGGAAACTTAAATATACACTCTGCCATTATGCCGTCAAAGCTACCCTTCATCCCACACAGATAAATGTTATGAGGAATCTGCTCCGAGTGGCCTCAGAACTAGGAGAACAATGATAGGCAAGATTCCCCCCCCCCCCACATAATTAAGCGTAATTCAAATGTATTTAAACTGCGGAGGACATTCCAGAATACCAGAGCCTGATGTCTGCGCAGATCAGATGCGGTTGAGGTACTGCGTTACTAGAAAAAGAAAACATTCTTCCACTCGCTCTGTATCCAAAGCTGGGTTTCCACTTCCTGCTGAAGCAGCAACCTTTCTACTTTGCCTTAAACAGATGGTTGTTGGTGACAATTTCTGCTTGGATTGGACCGTTAAAACAAAAACATTGACGCAATTTGGGGAAAATGAACAAGAAAGGCAACAGCTGCATCCTTCTCTCCAGAAGACAGAGGCATCAGCAAAAGCAGGAGATATAGCCTGTGATAAATGAGAACGATTGGCACAGGGATGTGTGTGCGTGCTTATATAGTTTTGGGTTTTGTTAATGCTTTTTAATAGTAATTATACTTTATTGATCTCACATTGGAGAAATTTACCTCTGCATTTAACCCCTCCCCTAGGGGAGCAGAGGGCTGCCATCGTGGGGCGCCTGTGGAGCAGTGTGGGGTTAAGGGTTTTGCCCCCCAGAATGGGAGTCTGTGGGAGTGGGGCTCAAACTCAGAACCTCAGGATTCCAAGCTCTATGGCCTAACCACTAGGGCCCCACACCACCCTGATTGGAGGATGGGTTTTTATGCTTCAACTTTTGTTGAGTTCAGCAGACTTCACCTCAACGGCTGATATCACAGAAGCTTTCAGTTGATCTATGGGAAAACGTGTTAGGAACGACTGAAACGTATCCTTTAAGGCAAGAGGCACTGGTTTGATAAATAAAACCAACATGTTGATATCCATCTAAGAGTTGCACACACACACACACAGACATACAGGGTGATTGATGGTCACACTGTGTGATAAAGGGTGCTGACAGTTCGTTTCTGAAGCTGCCTCAGTGGGTGAGTCTTTCCATACTGCTGCCTGTTTGTCAGAAGTGTTGGCCCAGGTGAATGTACGGAGTCTTGCTCAGTGTTTGGGAGTTTTTCTTTTGGGGGGCTCTGATTTGAAGTTGCCGAGTTTTCTATACCAAGGTTCTTAGCTGGGCTAATGATTGGTTCTTGCTTTTTGCTACTTGAGGAAGGAGAGCTGTGCACCCGCAGCTTCTTGGATTCATCACTAACTGGAGGAGCTTGGGTAGGTGGAGCCGTAGCGGAACAGCAGCTGCGCTCCAGCTCGGTCAGATCATTGGCTAGGAGCTCCAGGCAGCCCAGTTTGGCCAGTGATGCAGAGCGCTTCATTAGAGACGGAGGGGTCAGGCCAGCCTGACGGATCCTGGCTTCCACCTGTCTAACCCTCTTCTGCAGATTACTTCCTTGTTTTGGAGAACTTCCGAAGCTCTGGCTCAAGCACACTGCCTGGCAGGCACCACCTGACCCGACCTGCTGCAGGAAGGAACCCAGCTCACATGTGTCCCTCACTGTGATGTCAGCACGGGGTCCCTCTGTCAAACACACCCAGTCGACAGACGACTCCAGTTCGGTCACACCTTCCAAACAGAGGAAGTTCACAGAGGCAAATGGAGACTGTGCAGAGTGTTGGAAATGAGAAGAGGTAGAGAGCAGTCTGGTATCAACAGGCTGGAGTTTGTGTCCTTTTGTGCTTTTTTCAAAAATTCCCAAAACATTCCCTTTTTCAGCTGGTCTAAACATGCCAACCCCGCCCTCCCGCTCTTCCTCTGTGGAGCTGACTACAGAGACCTGCGGGCGTACCGCTGCATCCTGAGGAGCTGCTCCAACCAGAGAGTGGATGCTGTATGGGCGGCGCTGAGAGCAGGAGCTGCTACCAGTGAGAGGGACAGCAGAGGATGAGGTTAAGGGCGTCTTGTTTTCCCCTTTCATCCGCTGCTCTAGTTGTTGCGTAACTCTCCGCACAGAGCCTCTGGTCCAGTTGCTGTAGAGGCGAACGGGGCCACCTTCCTCGTCCTCTTTGTTTTTCAATTCCTCCCTTTCATTTTTGGCCTCTTTCTGTGGGACAGTCTCCAGATTCTTCATTTCGTGTTTATAACTTATCTCATCTTGGTAGCAGGAGCTTTGTGGTTCTGGTTGGGTGAGAGTCTCTGTCTTTATTCCTGTGACCTGCACAGGAGCATGAGTTTCCTACAGAGGAGAGATAATGCAGAAGCAAAAAAATAATGTTTCAGTAAAACGCGTCAGAACTGGTCTATATGCATTTCATCTATAATCCACTAGATGGCCCTATTGCAGCACAATAATCAAAAGGCTTAGTTTATCTAGTATATCTAATACTCTATAAATCATGGCATTCTTAATTCATTTACATTCAAAAGTAAAACTAACATACCATAATGATTAATTATAAAACATAATATTCTTCACGTTTTATTCTTTTAATCTTAATTGTTATGCCTACAGCTAATCAACGTCAAAAGTACTGCTTCTCTAAAACTTAAAATATCAAATAAGATCAATAAAAATATTTTGCAGATTAAATGTGATTGATATGCTGAACAAGAAGGGGAAGAGAGACCAAAATGTTATAGAGGTTGGCAGTATGAGCGTGTGTCCACTTTGATTAATATAAGGATAAGTTGAAGGAAGAAAAGTTTGATTAGAAAAATGTTTTCATGCAACAAGAGCAGCTGCAGCCTTTAGAGGATTGTGATGATTTTCAAGAGCAGGGAGGAATTCACAACCTTTGCATCTCTGTGTTCAACTGAACCAGAGACAGCATAACTCTAGTATGGACTGAGTAAAAGAAAAAAAATATTCAGTGGTAAAAAATGTTATTATTTGCATT